AATCATGCTTGCACTATTTTGCTGTCAGCAATATACATGTTTTACAAGCTGCGAAAACAAACTCTGCAATGGCAAGAGTTACCTTGGGGTCCTTATCTGCTAGTGAGAATTGCGTATGAAATTCTTCAGTCTGTTCCAGAAATGGAATTAGAAGAGGTGCTAGGAGCTTTTTCTGTATGTCGATAGAAATTACAGTATAATAGAATATGGGTTTGTGTTGCAATATTTCTGCACGTGAAATTTAACATCTGAATTTGAATGTGTGATTCTAATTCCCCTGAAATGCTTTGAACTTGTGTTAGCTCTTCTGTTATCAGAACTTTGATGGTAGTGTTTTGCTTATTGTATATTCCTTAAGTGCCCATGGTTCAACACCCCGAGATCCAGCATATTGGCATTCAGTTTACATGCACGCGCGCGCGCGCACACACACACACACACACATCCACGTAGATGAGCATATTTTGTATCATTAGGGACTGACCAATTCATCAATTTACATTTCTCTCAGCTACAGATTTATTTTCCAAACATCCATTTGTCTTGTTGTAATTCTCCATCAGTTTGTAATCTTGTCTTTAAAAAGTCCTCTCCAAATTCCTTACGTGGTTTTAGGATTATTTACTGATGCGTTTATTTGCAGATGAATTGTGCAATGTTTTCTCCTCATGGAATAATATTGGTCCGTCCTTTTCAATATTATCTGCATTTTTGTGCAAGCTTTCCACAGTGTCTACTTTTTTATTGATAGGGAAATACAATTCAGAGAAGTGCCGATATTGCTAGATAACTGCACAGAGTTTGCCTAGTTAAGAAAGTCTAAGTTAGGTGAGTTCAAATTTGTTTCCCATATCTAGATCCATTTACTTCTGGGATTCCTAACTTGACAGTCCTTCACACCAGTGTGTCCAACAGAATTCTTGCCCCTCAACTGTTTGTTTGTTTATCATATTTATATAGCTGCCCATCGCACACAAGGTGACTCTGGGCGGTGTACAACAATTTAAAAAAATAAATACCTAAAAACAACTACATGTAAAAAACAGTAAAAACACACAAAACAGGAGGGGACAAAATTAATAAGGGAGCCATCGTAAAATCTCCCCTGTCCCCTGGGAACCCCAGGCCTGATCACATAGCCAGGTCTTGAGGGACTTGCGGAATGTTAAGAGGGATGGAGCTAATCTCACTTCTGGGAGAAGATTCCACAAGGCGGACGCCATGGCAGAGAAGGCCCGCCTCCTGGCACCCACCAAATGTAATTCTCTAGCAGACAGGATCTGCAGCATGCCTTCTCTGCCAGAGTTGATGGGATGGGCAGATGTAATCGGGGAGAGGCAGTGCCTCAGGTAACCCGGCCCCATGCCATGAAGGGCTTTAAGGATCAAAACCAGCACCTTGAATTGGACCCAGAAACAAACTGGCAACTAGTGCAGCTCGCGAAGCAACCCTAGTGTACAACCCTAGGGGCACACATAACAGCCTGCGCCACTGCATTTTGCACCAGTTGAAGCTTCCGGATACTCTTCAAGGGCAGCCCTATGTAGAGTGTATTACAGAAGTCCAAATGGGAGGTGACCAGGGCATGAGTGACAGTGATTAGGTCCCTCTGATCTAGGAATGGGCGCAACTGGCACACAACACGAAGCTGTGCAAAGGCCCTCCTAGTCATGACTGCCACCTGCTCTTCAAGCAGGAGTCATGAGTCCAGGAGGACCCCCAAATTGCGCACAGT